TTTTGGAAGTGGGGGAAAAAATAAAAAGTTCATTCAAAAAAATTATTTCAAAAGAGATTTCATATAAAGCCTTTAAAACACGGTCAAAAGTTTCTCCCTCTTCTCCAGATCCCTGTCCCTGTGGTTGAACATGTACAGAGAGAAAAAGAGAGAAAGAGAGAAAAATAGAGAGAGTTTATAACAATCTCTGTAGAAGAAACAAAACAATCCAGAAAGAAAATATCCCCAAGAATACGTAAGGGATAAAATTACATTTGTACAAAAATAGATTTTAACTTTATTGATGCTTTAGATATTTTTCCTTTTCTTTTTTTTTTTGTCATTCTAAATTTTAATGTATTTTATTTTTTCAGCTATGCATCCCATAGCCAAGGCATCCATCACTAAGTATTGGGAACTGCTAAAGCTATTTTTTACTCAAAACCACCTGCTGCTCAAAAGATAAACAAAAAAACAAACAAACAAACAAACTCCAACAAAACAAAAAAGGCATCTTAAAATAGATGCAGTTGTCTCAAGGAATAAAGATCCAGATTTGGCATCTGCCAATTCGGAAAGGGCTTCAGATACGATGTACTCGCTTACATGAAGCAAAAAAAAAAAAAAAAGAAAAGCAAGAAAAAAAATAGGAAAAAAGAATCGACTTAAAACAAAAAAACCCACAAAAAGTCTGTAATTGCTACGGTTATAATATATGTATATGTGAGTGAGGGTATTTATACAGTGTATATATCTACAGTACATACATGTATACACACGCACATACGGATCAACTTAAACCAGCTCATGCACGGCACTGATGGGCACGGCACCAGCTCCGGAGCCACGGCCCCGCCGTCTCCAACCCTTCCCATCGGAGCAGCGAGGACGGAGGGGGTCAAAGTGCAGAGAAGCCGCTGGTGAGCTCGGGGAGGGTGTCCATGTAGGCTTCCGACACCCATGGGTGCTGGGGAGATGATGCTCAGGAAGCTTCGGCATCCTGCTGGATTCGGCTCGGGTTGGGTTAGGGCTTGGTTGGAACGGCAAGAAGGCAGCGAGGAACATCCTGGGTGGCAGGTGGGTGGCTGAAAAGCTGATGTTTGTGCTATCTTTAGAAAATTAAAGATTGTCCCACCAACAAAAAGGAATTTAAAAAAATAATAATTAAAAAATAGATCACCCTATTCAAACCAGATTTTTGCAAAACTACTAAGATCTGGTTAAATGAAATCCTACCTCTCTAGTGAATAATGTGCCTTTTTTTTTTTCTTTTACCCATTTATCACCTCTTCAAACAAGCATGTAATATATTTATAATTATTATGATGAGCCCAAAAAAAAAAAAAAAAGAAACCAAAAGTGAAAAAGAATACAAATGAAGACTCAAACTCATGCAAAAGCACGTTGCTTTAAGGCTGCTGTGGCAGATGTTATGGGATGCACAAAAGCTTTTCCTTCAGATGGAGAGGCCTGGGCTGGTGATGCTGGGGGGAGGTGTGGGGTGGGCTGGGGTCCTGGCTCTGGGAGTTGATCACACACAGTCAGGACCCACTGGGAACCCGCTGGCGGGACATCACAGGAGCCCTACTGAAACCAC